GGGCCTGTCTGGGCTCCAGGGGCTGCTACCTTCGGGGTGAGTTCCTCGAGAGGCGAAGTCTCTATGACTGGGCAGGTCTGGAGCCCACCTGCCACCCTCATTGGGCGATGAATGGGATTGGGGAAGGGCGCAATGTGGTTTGGGGGTTTAAAATTCCATTCAGGCACAGTCCAGCTCAGTCCAGCTCCTACTGATTGGTGCTGCAGCCTATCCCGGCCCAGCAGGCACCCCGTGTGGCCAGCTGTTAACTGGTTGATTTTGTAGCCTGACCCAGCCCCTCCTGCAATCCATCCTGGTCTTCAGATCTGCCAGTGGATGTTATCAACTGGCCCAGCCTGGCCCACCCCCACCCCCATATCTGATCCACAGGTATGTTGGCCAGTGCTATAGATTGGTCCAGATTGGGCTGCTTCTTGCTTTGGTTCTTGTGCTCACCTGCAGGGACTGCATCCTGACAAAGGAGCTTCCTAAGGTTCTCTATCAGGTCACCTCCTTTTGGCAAATTGTGCACACACCAGTGGGTCCTTGGCCCAGGCTGACTTTGTCCACCTTTTGTTCTGGCAAGAACATTGTCCTTGCACAACTGGCTCATACCAAATCTGGTTCTTACTGTTGGGTGTTGTAGCCCACCATACTTGATCCACACCCAGATACAACCTTTATGTGGTTCAGCGGGAAAATGAGGCCTAGCCCAATCCATTCCACATTTTCCCTGTCTCTCATGAGTACCAGTGGATGCTGGAATCAAACCCAGCCTGGCATGCCCCAGACCCAGTCTCTACCCATGCTGGGGGTGGGGAGACTGCAGTCATGTCCAGCCCTGTGCACTACCCCCATTCAGGCTCTCACATTTACCATTGGGTATCCCAACCCAGCTGTAGCATCCCCTTAGTTCCCCAACTGGGCCTGTTCCCAGCCACAGATCTTGCATGTGCCAATGGAGATTGCTGTTTGCTATTCCACATGGGTGAGCCCACATGCGCACCCTCCACCCCCCCCAGATTCTGCCCTCAGACATAATTCACTCACGTGTTCGTTAATGTTATGGACCAGACTCATATTACCCATTGCCTTTTCTGCCTCTCACCAGTGTTTTCCATGGTCTAGCTCTGCAAGTACAGTGGTTTTGTCTATGGGAGATGTTCAGAAGTTGTTCCTCATCAGGTCCCCGCTTGTCCCCAACTATGCCATCCCCCAGATCAAATGTAAGTCCACACCACCAAGTTCCCAGAGCACACCACCAGGCTGTCTTCCCCTGTGCTGGACCAAAAGGCACCCAGGCTGGGGGAGTGAGGGCCTAACTGGACTTCCTCTCCCTTAAAGAGTCATGCCACCCAGATGTCCACCCCTGTGCCAGTCCAAAAGGCTGAGTGTTGTTTTAGATACTTTATCCACTAAGATTTGATCTTTCTGTATGGTGACAGGTGAGGATCTTGTTTCTTATTTCTGCAGGTTGCTATCCATTTGTCCCAGAAGCATTTGTTGAAAAGATCATCTTTTTCCCCTGGGTTGTTTTTTGTTCTTTTATGGAACATTAGGTGGCTACACATGTATGGGCTCTCTTCTGGTGTTTCTATTCTTCATCATTGATCTTTCTCTTTGTTTCAGGCTGTTTTGATTACTACCACCCTATAATACATCCTAGGTTCTGTAATTGTGATCCCCTCTAACCCCTTGCCAGCTGGATTTTTACTCTTCAAGATAGTCTTAGATAGTGCCACCCTACTTCCCTTAGATGCTTGGACAGTGCCCTTCTCTGCCTTGCTCCAGTTGCATCCTATGGAGCTGTGCAGTTAGGCAGGCCTGCAGTTTTATTGCTGGCACCTCTGCCAACACTTCTCCAGGTGTTAGCTTGCTGTCTGTTCTGCCAGCAGCTTTCCAATGACCAAGGCTACTCAAGTGCACCACCAGGTGGCTCCTGCTGCTGATGTGCACACCCCTGTGGGTTGTCTTCACTCTCCTCTGGCATTTTGCTAGTGTTTTCTGTAGCATCTGGGGTCGGGGATATTAACTGAAGCATAGGGACACACACTCCACACCCGCTTGGGCAAAGTTCCTCTTTGACTTGTCCTGTCTGCAGCTCAGGGAACTGTGAAGTGGAGCAAGTCTATGCACTTCTGCCAAGGCTGCTCTAAATGTTTAACTTGCTTTTGATTCTGTTTATAGTGTCCCAGTTACCAGGGCTACTCAAGCACACCACCCTGTATTTCCTGAGCACCCCTGTGGGTCTCCACCCTCCTGTGTTATTTTGCTCTAGCTAGTCCCATTGTTGGTACTCAGAGACCTTGGCTTTTGCTATGGGTCACACTGAGGTTTGTGCAGCTGCTCCCAATCTGGACACTGCCCCTGAGGGACAGCATCTAGATCCAGCATCTCCCTCTTGGGTGTTTCTGGTGTTTCTAGGAGTTCTTGGGCACAGACCTCTGCGGGTGGGATGGACTCTGTTCTTAATCTGCAAGTCCCTCCCTCAGCTGGTTTACTCCCTAGAAAGTCCTTGCCCAATGGCTCACTTCTCAATGACGTGACCACCCAGATCTGGGGGTAGTGGGGAGATTGATTGGGAGCCTACAATCTTCTACACCAGTGCCACTACTCACTAGTGTTTTGCCTGATGGCCTTTTGCCTCCCATTGTCTCTTTGGGAAGGCTCCCACTGGGATTCTGCCTGTTGCTGTTGCCTTTGCGCTGGCTCAAAATTCACTAGGCTTTTGTCTGTCAGTTAGAGTGCCTTCTTGTAGCTCATCTGCTCTCACCTTCCTCTTGATCTGCTGGCTACATTTTGGAGGTTTTCTGTAGTTTGTCCTTGTCTTGTGCAGCTCATGTTTCCCTCCAGTGGCCTCTAGGGAGTTTGCTCACTTTACCTGGTGATTTTTCTTTTCCATTTCTTTGTCCCACTTAGTTTTATCTCATAGCTTTCTGTGCATTCTTGGCCACACCTGCCTACCCTGATAGGCCATCTTGTCTCAAGCCAGTACAAGCCCCCAAATCTTTAACATGGCCAGTAAAACTGCAAGGATATTTGCATATATTTGTAGAGATGTACACACTGAATACTAAACATCCTTATTTTTAATTTTCACACTCAGATTTCAATATTCATGAAAGATAGATAAACTGATATGTGGGTGGACATCCAGGAATAAATGTAAGTAACATTTAAAGGTGAAAGTTGAACTGAAGAGTGAGCAAAACAGGATTTTAAGAGTTGCTGCTCACTGAGTATTCCTACCTCATTTAAAATGAAAGAAACATGAATTAAAAATATTATTTCGTTGTTGGACTGTGTATTCCTAGCAAATATGCTTCTCTGAGACAGAAAATCATGTAGAATCTGTTGTGTGAGATCTACTCTAGTTTCTATTCTTCCTATGTTAATATGCCTCAAAGAAGCCATGGGTTTCTGAAGGGGAAAATATGAGAGCAGTTCTGCAGTGTGTGGGCAGTAATGAGGTATGCAGTGGCTAGGAGAATTTGAAGGATTAATAAAACAGACTAAAATCTGGTCTACTGTATACTGTCAACATATGCTGGCCTTTCTAAATGATGTGAAGGATAAAGTACTCCTTTCTGAGGATATTGCTATTTCAGTTCTACATGTCTGTTACGGTGACCAGCCACCCCAACTCCATTCAATCATTAGGAACCCTGGTACATGTCTATTACAGTGACCAGCCACCCCAGCTCCATGCAGTCATTAGGAACACTGGCCTTTCCAGTGAGTCTCTGCATGGCCTTAGGGCCTAGGTCTTTACTGGTCTTTCCACATGATGGCAGTCAGGGAGGAGGTTTATAGCCATATGGAGAGGTGAAGGCTGTCAGCTTCCACACTTTCCACTGGCCTAAACTCTGGCATGTGGTCACGCCCCATGGCCATGACAGCTTAGCTAAGGGTTCTTAAGAAGCAAAAAAAGAGAGGTCTAACTTGTCTCTACTTTCTATTATTTGCAGAGTTTATTCATCTGTTTGAAGGCAGAGTGACAGAGTGAAACAGGGAAAGACAGAGTACAGCTATCCAAAAGCTCATTCCTTAAAATCAGGAATGACAACTCTGGGCCAGACCAAAACCAGAGACCTAGAACTCCATCCTGGTCTCCCATTTGGATGACAGGGACCCAAGTACTTCTCCAGCTTCCACAGGTTTCCCAGGTGCAATATCAGAGAGTTGGAGGAGAAGATGAGCAGGTGGAACACCAATTAGCATTTAGACAGAGGATGCTGTGGTAGCTCAGGGTGACTTAATCAACTGTGCCACAATGATGGCCCCTACTTTCGATTTTAATATTTTAGTGTGCATGTCACAAACTAGTTGGTAAGCTGTTAGCTCACATAGGCAGGCATCTTTCGTGTCTATTTCTCTCATCCTTAGGAAGAACTAGAAATGAAGGGAGAGTTACGACAACTTCCATTCCTGGCAACATTCACCCTAGTTCCTTAGTCCTTGAGAAGTACTTTGATTCAGACATCATTTCTACTTCCCCAAGATGTGACATTCACCTAAAGTCCATGCATGTGTTCGAAGCACAGCAGAACGATGCCTTTCTGCCCACACAGGTGGCACTTTCTACTCTCCTTCATGACCATGCCCTGCCCTTTCTGCCCAGTATTCATGGGCCTAAGCTGGGAAAGAACAGATTCATTTGCACAGCATTCCCTCCCCTGTTGTGTTTCCATAAACCCTGAGCCATGGTGAGCAGACTCAGAGTGGGTGCAAATGGTCTTCTAATATCAAGACAGCTATGCACATGACCTAACCTCAAATCCCAGCAGCCTCAGTAAGTCAGAGCTGGTAGCATGAGAGATTGTAGCCGGAGGAAACATAAAAGCTTTTCCATAGGGAAGCCACTGCTTGGGCTACAGATTGTAAGGAAGAAAGCTTTAGTCTTCAACCCCACCCCCTTGACTGCTTCTTCACAGTGCTAGGCGCGGCTCTAAAACCTCCATTTCCAAGGTAGAACAAAAAAAGAACTCAGCTTTTTTTTTTTTTTTTTGCAACAAGTTTATTAAAAGGAAAAGCATGGAGGCTTCAACAATTATCAGGTAATCTGAGGCTAAGAAGACCAAATAAGAAGGCTAGACATAGTTGGTGGTTATCAGCAGCTGCACTTCTCTGAACTGAAGGCCTTGCAGGAAGTTAATACTCGCTGCACAAAGTGCTGTTGTATATTGTGTCCTAGAAAAGAAAGAGATGTTGCTTGGGTTGTGAACTTTCTCTTGCAAATTCAAATATTTACAACCTAGGCTTTTCTTCTCATTATGTGCCTGCATTTGTAAAATAAGCATATAGCACCCAAGACAGTGCCGGGTACAAAATCAGATCATCCACCGACACGTCCTATCATTCTAGGGATTCTGCTGATGTCAGAGAGCTGCTGCAGCTGCCAGATCACTTCTCCAACAAGCACACCTTCAGTGTTTCCTTTCCCAACCTCAATAAATATTCTGGAGTTCTTTGCTGAAAACGTGGGGGTTCAAACTCTATTTAGATAAAAATACACTTAGATGTAAAACAATCCCATCATTTTTATGTGTAGGTGGTGTTCACTTTATGCTGACATTTTTGGCTTATGCGTGACCTTTCTTCTTTCAAGAAAGTGTTGGGATAGTAAACACAATTTTGGAAAACTCACAGAGACTTATTTAAAATTTTTAAAAATGTTTCTTATTATACTTCTGATTTCTGTTTTAAACAATCTCATCACCAATTGCATTCTCTCTGTTTTGGGGGGCATTTTGTAAATTTTATTTATATTTATTACAAGACCATTTGTAGGTCTATAGACTGCCCCCTTCCTGTGGTCTGCTTTCACAACAGGATCTACTCTAGCTATTTCCTGAGTGCCTGAGGAAGAATCGAAGGTTTCCAGATACGCTAGCAAACTTGGTGGCTGAAGGGTGTCTTTTAAAAATTTGGCATTATGTATATAGACTATTACTCAAATAATATTTTCTAGACTCTAAAAGAAGGGCATAATGGGAAGAACCACAATGCTTTTAAATCTGTATGTATAAAATACATGAAACCTGTTCCCCTAGTATAAATATAAATCCCTCTAAAATTCTTATCAATGTTTTTATTACTTGCTTCTTAAACAAGGAGGAACATGTCTGCTGTTCATGCCAAATCAGTGCACTCTGCAAAGCAGGTGATATTTCTCTTTACAGAACGCATGTGTGTGAGAGATAGGGAGAGAGTTTGTCTCCTGGGAACAAGCCATTTCCTGATCTTTTTGGCCTTTGGCTTTCTTCAGTCCACATTCACTAAGGAATCTCAAAGTGAAGTTGGTGATTTATAGGGGACTTTGGGTCACTCAGTTTAAAAATGTCATTAGACTCACTACATACTTGATTATATGACATTGTCTAAGGCCTGCGTGTCCACCTCTTAGTTCTAACGTTAGCACCAAACCCCAAACCTACTTACTCCTAGTCAAGGATTACACTAAACATAAAAGAAGAAACTGAAATTACCATCAACACTTTGACATTGGCCAGAGTTTCATTGGATTGGCTGAGAAAGCATTCCTTCCCTTCCTGCACTGCGTTTAAAACTGATGGATAATAGACAAAATGACCCCAGAATTCCATATATTTTTGCAGAGATACAGCTGGATCAATTGTCATTGTAATCACGTTTTCCAGAAATTGGCAGCCAGAACCTGGAAGTAAGCATGAGAAAACATGGGCTCATTAGCAGAGAGGAAGGCATCCAGGAAGTACCGATAGCATGAACCACACTTTTACCTAGCTGTTAAAAGGCAGATTCTGAAAGGTTACAGCCCATGGAGTCAAGTTTGCAGATCAGAAGAGTAAGCTCAAGTTCTGAGGAGTCCTTTAAGTCCTGTAATATCTGTTCCTTCTACCCTCTCTCACCCACAAAAGCCAAATCCAAGGACACTTATAAAATGAGATACTCTGACAGGGAGGAACATACTCAATGTTGTAAGAACATATTCAATGTTGTGTCAGACTTCATGAGTGTCACCTGTAGAGACCAAGTGGCACTTGCAAGTGTCAGAGAGAAAGTGGATCCAGAATACTAGCTATTGGCTCTACCAATTTCACCTGTAGTCTGCATCACCAGGTAACACCAAACAGAGCCAGCTTTGTATTCATAAAGTAATCTGCTGGGGCAACCACTGTGGAGGAGAAAAGAATTCAGGATTTGACTTATGTGAGCTATTTTCTCTCATGACTGTACAATTCTCTATCTGGGTTGACTGGGAGAAATCCCCTTTTCAACAGTCTGCTGCTTGTTCATTGCTGGAAGGAGGTTCCAGAGGAAGTGAGATCTCCCCTGCCAGGGTTGAACACAATGGGCTAGGGAGCAAAATGGCTTTGTGAGAGGACTCAGATCAACTTTACATATATGCATTATCTGGCCCCTAAGTTATTATTTGTCACGGGGACACACACTAAGGCCTGACTCTTCTCCCCAGAAGTCCTGTTTTGTCTTCCCTGTTTTAAAAATATTTAGTTATTGTTATTGGAAAGGCATATCAAATTTAAGGAGAGACAGAGAGAAAGATCTTCCAGCCACTGATTCACTCCTCAAATGGCCATCATGGCCAGCGCTGAGCTGGTCCAAGGCAGGAGCCAGAAGCCTCCGGTAGGTCTCATATGTGAGTGCCAGAGTCCCAAGGCTTTGAGCCATCCTCTATTGCATTTCCAGGCCATAAGAAGGGAGCTGAATGGGAAGTGGAGAAGCCAGGACACGAAACAGCGCCCATATGGGATCCCAGTGCTTGCAAGGTGAGGATTTAGCCAGTAGACTATCATGCTGGACACCTTTTATTTCATCTCTAAAAATAGCTGAGTATCTTCTGTAAGAAACGCATCTGGACCCAATGCTATAGAACCATTTTTAAACTATTTCCCTTGCCCAGGGAAATCATAGATTCCAATATTCAGTTCAGAGGCTCATCCTGTTTGTTCTGATGGAGGTAAAGCAAGGCATGACAATGGCACTGAGACACTACACACAAACCCCAAGAGGAAAATGTCTCTTGGGGTTACTCATTGTTATTGGTGATCTTTAAGCTACAACACCCAGACTCCTTGCACTGGGACTGATCTGTGTGGGTACTTGGGCACAGGAAGGTTCCCTTGGGTTCAGGCAACAATCCCTCATCCAAAGGGGCTTCCCCTGCACCAGACTCACCTGCAGAGCAGTAAAGTGGCAGGGCGAGGAGCATGAGGACCACCACCAGCTTCATGCTGAGGCCGCTGTTGCCAGCTCTTCTCTCACACGTGATGGGGAATAAGAAATTCGCTTGGAGATGAGCACCCACAACGGCTATTTATTTCCCAGGGAGCAGCCTAACTTCCCCACCCCAGAGAAGGAAGGGAGGAGTCACAGAGTCAATCTGAAATCAGACCAAGAAATGACAGCAAGTGTCAGCTGGAGCCAAGATGCCTGTAAGAAACTAAGGAGGCAGACTTTGGGCACCCTGACAATTTTAAGACTGAGTAAATAAGCCATGTCAGTACCCTTGTGCTTCCAAAACACAAGACAAGTTCCAACACCATAAGCCTGGGTGGTTATCTGTCAAGATTTTTTTCTTGTGGTGATATCTTCCTCCTCCTCCATCTCCATTTTTAAGCTAATCTTGTCCCACTTCTTATTGCCAACCCCTAGTTCCCCTTTATTGAGTAAAGTGTAATACCATATATCTACGGTAGGAGGCAGACCTTCCTCATCTATGGACACACATTGCAATGAGGTACTTTTTATATTATTGCATTTAATTTTTTTTTAATCTCAATTTCTTTTTTTTTATTATTGTTAACATTGTATTATGTGATACAGTTTTATAGGCACTGGGGATTCCCCCCACCCCTCCCATACCCCTCCCCCCATGGTGGATTCCTCCACTTTGTTGCATAACCACAGTTCAAGTTCAGTTGAGATTCCTTCATTGCAAGCATATACCTAGCATAAAGTCCAGCGTCTTATTGTCCTGATAAGTTCAGTGGCCTCTTGGGGAGACCTTCTCTAGTCTGAAGATAGGGCTAACAGAGTAAAGATCCGGTCAGTTAAAAGCCCCAACAAAACCTCAGTATCAATATACAACATTATGGAATTAATTGACATAGTATTGGGTAAACAATATGTTAAAAATAATGCAAGTTCCATTCTTCGAAACATCTGGGTTGAGACAGTATCAATGACAGGTTCAAAAAATAACCAACAACCAAACAAAAATTACAAGTTAAATCAAGGCAAACATGTGGTATCTAACCTTTTGGGATTCGCTCATTTCCCTTAGCATTATAGTTTCCAGTTGGGCCCATTTAGCCACAAAGAACTGCATTTTGTTTTTTTTAATAGCTGAGTAGTATTCCATGGAGTAGATGAACCAAAGCTTTCTTATCCAATCTTCTGTTGATGGGCATTTCGGTTGCTTCCATGTTTTTGCAATTACTGATTGTGCTGCAATGAACATAGGGATGCATGTTGGTTTGTCGTAAAACAGGTTTTTTGGATATATTCCTAGGAGTGCTATTGCTGGGTCATATGGTATGCAGATTTTGAGTTGTTTGAGTGTTCTCCAGACTGATTTCCATAAAGGCTGTACCAATTTGCAGCTCCACCAGCAGTGGAGTAGGGTTCCCTTTTCCCCGCATCCTCGCCAGCAAGCGTCGTTGGTGTTCTTGTTTATGTGGACCAATCTTACTGGTGTTAGGTGGTACCTCATCGATGTTTTAATTTGGATTTCCCTTATTGCCAGGGAGCTGGAACATTTTTTCATATGTTTGTTTGCCATTTGGACTTGTTCCTTTGTGAAATGTTTGCCCATTTCCCGTGCCCATTTCTTGAGTGGCTTGTTTGTTTTGGTTTTTTGGTTGTTTTGAAGTTCTTTGTATATCCTGGAAATTAGCCCCCTATCGCCTATATAGTGTGCAAAGATCTTCTCCCACTCTGTGGGTTGCTTTTTTACTTTGTTGATTGTTTCCCTTGCTGTACAGAAACTTCTTAGTTTGATGAGGTCCCATTTGTTTATTCTGTTCTCAACTGCTATTGCTTTTGGTGTCCTTCTTAGAAAGTCGGTACCTACTCCTAGGTCTTGCAGGGTATTTCCTACATTTTCTTGCAAGAGTTTGAAGGTTTCTGGATGTAGGTTTAGGTCTTTTATCCATGTAGATTGGATCTTAGTGTATGGTGATAGATGTGGGTCTATCTTTTTGTTTCTACAGGCTATCAGCCAGTTGTCCCAACAACATTTACTAAAGAGGCCTTCCCACTTGCTTGAGCTATCATTGGTCTTTTTGTCAAAGATTAATTGGCTGTATCTGTGTGGGTTCCCTTTTGGTGCTTCTATTCTATTCCATTGATCTTCCTTTCTGTCTTTGTGCCAGTACCAGGCTGTTTTGATAACCACTGCTCTATAGTATGTCCAGAGGTCCGGGATTGTGATTCCCCCTGCTAACTTCTTATTCTTCAGGATGGTTCTAGCTATTCGTGGTTTTTTGTGTTTCCAGATGAACTTTTGAATCATTGTATCCAGTTCCGTGAAGAATGTTTTGGGCAATTTGATTGGAATTGTGTTGAAAATGTATATTGCTTGTGGTAGTATAGACATTTTAATGATATTGATTTTGCCTATCCAGGAGCATGGGATGTTATTCCATCTTTTGAGGTCTTGTTCAATTTCCTTTTTAAATAGTTTGTAGTTTTCTTCGAATAGGTCTCCTACGCTTTTGGTTAGATTTATTCCCAAATACTTCATACTTCTCTCTGCTGTTTTGAATGGTATCCTGTTGGTTAGATCTTCTTCCATCTTGGTGTTATTTGCGTACACTATGGCTGTTGATTTTCGTTCATTAATTTTGTACCCTGCCACTCTGCCAAACTCTCGTATAAGTTCTAGTAGTTTCTGTATTGAGTCTCCTGGTTTTTCTATGTATAGGATTATGTCATCTGCATATAGTGAAAGCTTGACTTCTTTGTTTCCTATACGTATGCCTTTGATTTCTTTTTCTTGTCTTATGGCCTCTGCAAGTACCTCCAGGACTATGTTGAATAGCAGTGGTGATAGCGGGCATCCTTGTCTTGTTCCAGATCTCAGTGGAAGGGTTCTAGCTTTTCTCCATTCAGTATGATACTGGCGTTGGGTTTTTCATAAATTGCTTTGATTATGTTGTGGATTTTCCCATCTATGCCTACTTTGGCTAGAGTTTTTAGCATGAAGAGGTGTTGGATTTTGTCGAAAGCTTTTTCTGCATCTATTGAAACTATTATGTGGTTCTTGTTTTGCAGTTTTTGGATGTGGTTTATAACATTTATGGATTTCCGAATGTTGAACCATCCCTGCATTCCAGGGATGAATCCTACTTGATCCGGATGAATGATCTGTCTGATGATTTTTTAAATTCTATTGGCTAGGATTTTGTTGAGAATTTTAGCATCAATGTTCATCAGAGAAATAGGTCTGTAGTTTTCCTTCTCTGACGGTTCTCTGTCCGGTTTTGGGATTAAGGTGATGTTGGTTTCATAGAATGAGTTTGGAAGGGTTGCTGCCTTCTCTATTGTTTTGAAGAGCTTGTAGAGGATTGGGGTTAGTTCTGTTCAGAATGTTTTGTAGAATTCTGTAGTGAAGCCGTCTGGGCCTGGGCTTTTTTTCGTTGGGAGATCCTTGATGACTGTTTCAATCTCTACCTCGGTTATGGGTTTATTTAATTCTTCAGTTGCCTCCGGACTGAGTTTTGGTAAGTGGTGGGAGTCCAAGAACTTTTCTATTTCTTGGTGATCCTCAAGTTTGTGGGAGTACAGTTCTTTGTAGTAATTTCTAATTATTTTCTTAATGATTGCAGTGTCTGTTGTTATGTTGCCTTTGTCATCTTTAATGCTATTGATTCTCACTTTCTCTTGTTTTTTTTTTTTTTTTTTTTTTTTGGTCAATCGGGCCAGTGGAGTGTCTATTTTGTTTATTTTCTCAAAAAACCAACTTTTTGATTTGTTGATTTTATGTACGGTTTTTTTGATTTCTATTTGGTTTATCTCCTCCCTTGTTTTGATGATTTCTTGTTTCCTATTGTGCATGGGACTCTTCTGCTGCTGTTTTTCCAGATCCTGGAGGTGTGAGGTTAGTTCCTGTATTTGGCGTCTTTCTTGGGCCTTGACATGGGCTCCGATTGCGATGAATCTACCTCGTAGCACTGCTTTGGCGGTGTCCCACAAGTTTTGGAATGTTGTATCAGAGTTTTCATTGGTTTCCATAAATTTTTTGATCTCATCTTTAATTTCTTCTCTGACCCACTGTTCGTTTAATAGCATATTGTTCAATTTCCAAGAGTGCCTATATTTCCTGGGGAGTTTTGAGTTGTTGATTTCCAGTTTCATCCCATGGTGGTCTGAGAGGGTACATGGTATGATACTAATGTTTTGGAAGTTGTTTAGATTCGCTTTATGTCCTATCATGTGGTCGATTCTGGAGAAGGTGCCATGCACCGCTGAGAAGAATGTATAGTCTGTGGCCTTAGGATAAAAAGTTCTATATATGTCTACTAAGTCCAGTTGTTCTATTGTTTGTGTGAGCTCTGTTGTTTCTTTGTTGAGTTTTTGTTTCGTAGACCGGTCCATTGAAGTTAGAGGCGTGTTGAGATCGCCTACAAGAATTGTGCGGGTATCTATGTCTTCCCTTAAGTCTGTAAGTAATTGCTTTACGTAACTAGGTGCATTAAGATTTGGTGCATAAACATTAATGATGGTGATTGCTTCTTGATGGATCATTCCTTTCACCAGTATAAAATGGCCTTCCCTGTCTCTTTTGATGTTAGTTAGATTGAAATCTATCTCGTCTGAAATTAGGATAGCTACCCCAGCTTTTTTTTCTCGTCTATTGGCGTGAAATATCTTTTTCCATCCCTTCACTTTCAGTTTCTTTGCATCCTTTCTGGTTAGATGTGTTTCTTGTAGGCAACAGATGGTTGGGTCTTGTTTGATGATCCATTCTATTAATCTCTGTCTTTTGATTGGTGAATTTAGACCATTTGTGTTGAGAGTTAAAATTGAGAGGTTGCAATTTTGCCCTGCCATGCGATTGTGTTTTGTGTGTGTTGTTGTCTGTGTAATTGCCTTGTTTGTGCGGGCTTTAGTTTGGAGACCTTCTTATTTGCCAACTTTGTTTGTGGTTTGCCTCCTTTTTTTCCGGGACTAGCGCATTTCTAAGGAGACTTTGCAGAGCTGGTTTTGTGTAAACATATTCTTCTAGTTTTTCTTTGCTATTGAAGTATCTGATTTCGTTCTCATATACAAATGAGATCTTTGCTGGGT